AAAAGGGGGGGGGGTTTTTTTGAAAATGTGGGGTCTTTTACCATGAAACCTTCATGTACCTAGATAAATTTTTACCCCAGAAGGGACCTTTCCCCGGCAAAAAGGGGGGTTGAACCCCCCCCCCCCCCCCCCCCCGAACACCCCTGGCTTCGGGCCTGAGAGACCATCTTCCTTAACCTGAATTAAAAACGTGTATTGCCTCCTGGCAAAACCCAAGGCGCCTCTTCTTTAATAAGCATTATTTTTAGTGTCAGTCTCAGTGAAGACAAGGAATGTATCTCTAATATTATAACGCTTAGGAACTCCAATCTTATGGAGAGTTTCTATCTACCGACCAACATAATATAATATAATATAATATAATATAATATAATATTATATAATATAATATAATATAATATAATATAATATAATATAATATAATATAATTATTACTTATTTACTAAAAAAAAACCTTTAAAAGATAATATAAAATTGCACAAGATATAACGAGATGGCGGAGGATGCTGACAAGCCTTATGAGCCGACCATGGCTCATAAGGATAATTAACTAATATAATATGATATGATATTCATATTTTAATTCACTCTTCCTGCCTGTAATTTTTTTTAAATGTACTACAGCAAGACTTGATAGCTTGAGCTAGATAATCAGACCTCTATTGAAAATTAATGAATACGATCTTCCCTGAGCACTTGAATCGATTGAATACTCTTAGAAATATTAGCCAGCTCTTTCATAATTAATATCAAGAGCATGGGCGTTGCGTCGTCGAGCAAGCACGTAGCTTCCTGGGTAGATGAGGGGGGAGGGGGAGGATTCTTATATTTTTTCGTCAAAGACAATGCTTGTTATTGTTATGCCTGGGAATATATCGCCGCTCGCTGTCTCTGCGGCTCAAGGTGAACCCATCTGAAATGCAATGGTAAGATGCACTAGTAGATAATAATTATTTAAAAAAAAAAACAAGAAAACCTGCATGAAAGTTTTTTTTTTATCTGAATGATGTGAAATATTTTTACAGCAACTAGGCGGGTTGTCTAGAGCGCCAAGAAGGAAAACAAGGAATGGATAAAGGGGATTTGGTATTGAACTTAACATTTCTCGCTCTCAAAGCCAGATGATGGATAAAGGTAGAAACAAAGAAAAAGCTTCGCGAAAAAGCCCTACACAGAAGTAGAGACAATCAAGTAAAAACAAATTCGATACTGAAATACAAGGCAATAAATTGCAAAACAGTGGACTTCATTTCTCTCTCGCAAACATCTTAATTCCCTTTGAAATCTTTGACAGTAAAAGCCTCGGTCAATATACGGCAATGGGTTGTTTTACTGTGACATGTCCGAGACTGAATGATAGACATGTCTGTGAAAATCTTCGGTTCTTTGTCTTTCACTTTCTCCAGGAAATGCATTGTTGGTTCCACATGGTCATATGGAAATATGACTATTGTTGCCCTGTTATCTCTAAGTTATTGTTGACAATACAGATCAATTCGTTCCAGGAAACACTTGCCCTTGGTTAAACACTTACATTATTAATCAAACACCGTGTTATGATTATTAATAAGCGTGAACAACTAGTTCCTTAAAAACCAAAATATATATGAAAAATTATACTCTGATAGCAAGTAAAATGAAAGCAGGTGAATAATAATGACACCAACCCTTCGTGTTTTTTTTTTTTTTTTTTTTTTTTTTTTTTCGACGGGTTCTTCGGTCATTTTTGGATTCTTGCCACATAGAACCACGGGCAGAAATTGATGTCCACAATGAGGAAGCGACGCCAAGGCTACTAATTGGATATATGAATTGGTAACAGCGCATCGGGAATCGATTCTTAGCGGTCAGTGATGTAAGATCCATTCATGATTCAGGTAACTTCATGAAAGACTTCTGGCAAGAGAGCATGAAGAGGAAAATGCCTATCTTACTTTGATGCACTTTTCACTGTCTGAAAGTTCTTATTGCTCATAAACGAGGGCAAAAATCGATATTTTTCTTTGACATTTAATTTATTTTGGATATGACTAATTACACGCTATAAACTTCATTTTCCTTAAATTTTAATGGAATCTATTTTCGCTCCAGGCCAACGGAACGACAAGCAAAAACGCTGAAGAGAGTTAAAAGAAAAATGCAAGCACCATATATACTATAAAGTGTATGTGCTCTAGATTATTCAGTGTATGTGCACCAGATAGACTATTCAGTGCACGTTGATGCAAAGCAAGACTATACGCAATAACAATACTACATAAACATGTTAAAATCTGCGCCCTTTCATGGGGCGCACTTTATTGTGATGTAATACTGGCATATTGAGTTTACCTACTTTTGGTCAAACCTTGACCGTTACCCTTATTAGGTATTGACACTATGTGTCCGGTCAAGGTCGGGTATTGACACTGATAGAGCACCTTATTACTGCCGAAATGATGTAATACTACAACTTAGGCGCATTTGATCAATTATAGTAAATGCTATCGTCAAAACTGTTGACCTATACTTCGATTGAATGCATCGAAAAACTGAAGGCATTAATAAGTTATCCCAAAAAATTGGATGTTGTAATTTGATTGTGTTAGGAACTGAGGGTGGGGTGGGGTGGGGTGAGATAAGGGGTTGTCATTTTTTTTTTTTTTTTTTTTTTTTGAAAAGGGCCGCTTTTAATCAAAATGTGATGTTATTTCTATACCGTTTCTCAGGGTGGGTCACATGAAATGGTAAAACGATCACTTATTTCAGAAAAGAGACCCTCCTCTTAAGTGGCTGGGTACAGATCTTGAGGGCCGCCAAAACAATGAGGAGATATGTTTTCACACCAGCATTAAACTATGATGTAGAATTAATTTTTACGGTAAGAAATGTATCAAAGTGTTCACATAACATCACCAGCGCTTAGGTGATGTAGTCTGGTCAATGCACAAGAGTGAACTTGACCATTGCCCTAACTTCTACCCCTACCCCTCCAAGTATTCCTAATACGACCCGGTGACTCGTATTGATATTACATACAAAAATATATATATCCATATTCTTAAAAAATAAAATAATCGTTTCTGTGAAGCTGCAAGAACTCCAGGCAGTATTAGCACCTGTGTAGCTGCGGTCTGGTTCCAGCATTGTATCTATCTGATGGAACCAGAGCGCCACTTCAACCAAATAACAATGAATAACTTTCACTGTTTGTTCTGCATGGTAGAAAATCACACTTGTCTTAAGTCCATAACGACCTGACCGCTTTTTCTTGACAACGCAGGGCCCAGTTAGTACATATTGTGACGTTGCCAAGGTCGACACTCCAACCAATGGTGTAATCCCGCAAGGGAATCAATTGTCACTACTGGCCAGAATTTCGTGCGACGTACACAGAGCGAAAAACGGGACTGAACATTTTTACTCCATTTTTTCATTGACAGAGCAGATAAAAAAACTGCAAAGATGGCAGAAACCCAAGAAATTGATCTGATCAATCGTGATCCAAACAACATGTATGACTACATGACGGTGAGTTGAAATGCTACTTTTTTACAGACCGAATTTCGAAGCGCAGTATCCGTGCACCGTTGCACACACTGAATTTGACTTCTATAAAATTGCGCGCTCATTAAATGTTCCTTGTTGGAGTTTTACCTTCTAATTTGAAAATGTGCCCCAAATTCAGGAGCATTAAATAGTACAAGCAAATATTAGCACATACTCAAAGGCAGTCTCCTATAAGACAAGACTAAAACTTCTTTTCCCCAAACTTCATTACTTAAGATTTATTTTGTTCCGAACAGTCTTTGCCTTTTCACATTACCGGTGGTATATAGTAAAAAATAAAGAGAGAAAAATAGAGAAGATTAATAAGCAAATTTGACGAAGCTTGTGGCGTCATAGAGTTGCTGAAGAGAGAAAGATGCATCTATGCCAAATTATTATAATTGATCTTGTCAGCTCTAACCGATAGACAACAGCAGCGCGCGCGATAAATAATTAATAAACGTATAGCTGCTATCGAATTAGCATTTATTCGTGTTAAATAGGGAAGAGCACCATTAAGGAATAATGGTTGTTATGGAAAAGAGAAACTATGTGAATAGGGCCAAACTGATGTAAAAAATTATCCTTTTTTTTTCTCATTTCGTGCTTAGCATTGAATATCTAACTATACACCCACCACCCGCCCTCCCCGAGTCGTATAGGTCACGTGATTGGGTACCATGGCTGCCGAGGCGAGAACAATAGAAATATGACCGGACCGTTGGTGCCCAGTAGCACTGGCAGTTGACAGGAGAAAATGATAAAGTGAATGGAACAACTAAGAAAGAAATCAAATTATTATTATCATTATCATCATCATTATTATTTTTTTATTATTAGTAGTATACGCTGTAATACATTTTTATTAACTGCTAAATTGATTGAATTCCAGTGACGATTTTAGTTTTTTAGGAATAGCTATAGACAATGAGAGCTAATTAATTTTTCAAACAGGTCTCTGTTGCGATTTTGACCAACTTAAATATATAATGTAGTATTCAGCATTATCATTTACAGGTTTGACTCACCTTGGACGATATCCATTTTCGTGAGCGAACGCGAATTACAATACTTTTTACAACTAATTAGGTTCTTATTTTTAACATAGTATAGTTAAGTTACGTTATGTCTATACACCCGAAATATATTTCATTAATTTTTGATTTACTAAAAGTCCCTTTGCCCCTCTCCCAAAAAGGGTAAATGAGGTAGTAAGTGGTGTCAAATCATTAATAAACTCTCAGAAAAAAAGGTTAATCCAATAAATCAGATTTATAAATTTTCTTGGCATAGGATTATTAAAAATTAAATAAAGAGTTATTTAAAGAATGCAATGCAATAGCGAATACGTCCAAAATTTGGGGTAAAAATATGAATCTGAACTTATAGACATGGCAAAATTATTATTAAAATTTCGTATATTTTGGTTAAGCATTTGAGAAGATTTCGAAAATACTAACTAAAAAACAATAACCATCAGCTTCCAGCGATCAGAAATCAGAAATCTCACTGCAAAGAGCTATCAAAACAAACAGGGCTATCTAAATGATAAAAGCTCTTGCAACTATCAAAAAACTAAACGATTCCATTGTTTTAGATCACTTGGACTTTGTAAAAGATAGCAATAAATAAACAAAAGATAGCCCATTAACCCAGTTACTAGGGAAAACAGAGAAAATGGAATTAGTGTACCCCAAAGGCTTTATCAAGACTTTTGTTTGCGCCTCCCTTTGTTTGGTGATCGCATGGATTGGTAGGCATTAGCTATGTTGACACTCGGAACAGGAGTGTACACTGGCAAACAATGCCAATTTTCCATAACTATGCACAGCTTTTACCCTCTACCAGGGTCGCAGATAATTATGTGACTGTGCTTTGTCGCGAGGAGAAAAGTACAGTAATTAAGCTAGAGACGTATCTTAAAATTTCTAGTGAAAAATCAATCGGTGGTCGTGACAGAGGGTACCAAGGTTCTGCTTCTTAGGAGTATATTTCAAGGCCACGCTTGGCCTTTTGGCCTCGATATCATTTTTTGTTACTTATAGATATTATATTTTTTTAGTATAGTTATTGCAGAATTCACTAATACCACAATAAATAGAGAATAAATGACATTAAGTTAGGTGTATGCGCTAGGCGTGTGCGATGTAAAGAAGGCTCTCAAAAGAAGCCCGGTGTGGCAGTGACCATGGCAACCGTTATTAAGGTGTACCTTGAAGGGTGTTCTGAACGGGATCTAATGTGTACCGTATGAGGAGATGGGAGGACTCTGTCGCCCTTCAAAATTAAACAGGATGGACGGGGTTTCTTATTCACTTCTTTACCTTCAGGAATTACAAAAAAAAGTTTAGGAAAAACGTAAAAAGTGACAAAAGCCGTTGTTGTGTGACATCACTTCCAGTGAGTATTTGTTTTCCTTTGGTCGCTCAGAAATGTACAGGGAATTAAGACCATTTCTTCCTTCCAAGACCACATCAACCAAAGTAAATAAATCAAGATGGAGGAGACACATGCCATAGAGCAACGGGCAACGGGCCAACCATTGCAACAGTTGAGGTAAACTCTGCTGAGAAGCACTAGCCTTCTCAACGGGCATGCTGGGGGAAGTAGTGCAGTTACCCAACCCCATTTCTTCCACCAAATATCTTAGAACCCATGATCATTGATAATTTATTATCTCCTCTTTGATCATTTATCTCCTTTCACGTTCCTTAGGTTTCAGCCGCTTATATATGTACTTTTTTCGCGTTGATGTTCTAGGTTCGCTTAGCTCTCCTTCCTGCTTCTAGCTATCCGCATTTAAGAACCCTTTCTTTGTCAAATTCAACATTTCATCTAGGTGTAGGGCCTATAGAACTAGCAAGTCGAACAAATAGCAACATATACTTCGTCGTTTCCTGAGATTATCTGAAAAAGAGTTTCAGGTAGAACTAGACCCGATTTTCTTGCTTATTATTCTTTAAACCTGAAAAACCAACGCTTAACTCCGCTATGCAGGTGAAGGACGTATCGGTAATGGAGTGTTCACAGGTAGCAATCTCGTCTAATAAACCTAAAAGCACACTCCCATATACATGACTATTCATCCACTGTATCGAAGTATATTCTAGGATTATTAGACAACCTGTAGCTGTGTTATTTGACTTTTCATTCCGTCTTTTATTCAGCATATTCGGTTCTGCTCTATATTCCAGATTTTAGATTCAACCTTAGATCACGTTCCCATAATCCTTTTCAGACATGTCAGCTGTATGATATTCTGCTTTATATGATTCTTTATTATGGCGTTGTTAAATGTTTATTTCTGTATTGTTTTATATATAAATATGTGTATACGCCATTTCGTTGCTTTAGTTCGAATTATTCCTTTATTCTTTATAGTGCTTTTATTTAGAAGAGGATGCAACTAATTTGTCAGTCATTTGAAATTCAAACCAAGAAAGGCATATCAAATGATCTTGATTATAAAAAAGCTCAAAAACGGTGTTGAAAAAAGTCATAGCAAACACAAGTACCTTTTTCACTCCGGCAATTTGTTTTCCACCACATTTCATATGGCATATATTCTTTAAAGAAAGTGTCAGAGAAAACACATGCTGCCGTCCACATTTTCCAAATGCGTCTTGTCATAATGGAAAATATGGTAAGGGCATTGTGCCAAAATTTTCAATTTGAATAGGAAGATCTACATGAATGGGATAATATGCAATTCTAGCTTCCCTCTTCATTTTTTTCCAAGTTACGCGATCTATTTAGTACCTGCGCTTTTGTGATTACCATGTGTCTTCGCTTAGTAGTTCTTCTCCGTTTCCAGGTGGATTTTTTGGAAGTCTTCGCCGAGCCAGACCAAACCCACAGTGCAGATTGCGTTTGGAGGAACTCCTTCAAGTGCTTCACCTGTGGCAAGAACCTTTGCTACAAGATTCTCACCTTCCTGTGCGGCATCTTCGTCGCCCTGTGCTGGGGGTGTGAGTTCGCCGGTATCGCTTTCAGCCACATCTGGTATTTCACCCCGTTGTACAAGGCTTGCGAAATCAACTTGGGCTGCTTCAAGAAGTTCTACACCACCTGCATCCACTGTCTGTGTGATCCAATGTGTGAAGCCTGCAGCTTGTTCTTCGCAGCGTTCAAAAAGTAGCGACAGACGAGGACTGTCGTCACAGGAACCAACAGCCGAATGGCCAGCGCTGACTCTATGTTCATCTGGGTCGGCCGGTATCGTTTTAAACCTTAAACTATACTGCCAGATGACCTGTGTTACTGTGATGTAGAGTGTTCGTTTTGATCGTGGTCTTTAAACTAGCTAGTGGTGTTGTCTTTTTTAACCGGCTCTCATTATCAACACGTATATGTACATACAATTTAATGTCAATTTATTAAACTTTTGAGCCCTACGGATGTGCATACAAATGTATTTGCCACAATGACATACGTGACAATAGGTAGTCAATATTTGGTACCCCGGTATGTGACTCAATCACACAAAAACCAAAACATTTACACCAAAACTAAGAAAACGCAACTTTGTGTCCTCAATATTGTAATATACATTTCACTCTCATTGATATTATGCAAGTGTTGTTGCAAAATTATTTCTTTCAAAATTTACTTTTTCTCTTTTCTTGCCTGTTTTTGAATAAAATTACTTTTGAAAAACTGCAACGTTGTTATTTCAGACTGATTGCGTGTTGTGTGTGCGTGCGAGTTTTTCAATTTTGTTTGAAAAATCGCGATATAAAAATCTATTATTTATCTTTTAATAACAATCATCACATATTTTCCCTTATTTTATTTGATTGTTTGAAATATAATTAGACAGTTTATGAAATAATTCATTTTAACTGATCACTAATCAATTTATTGTTTGAGTTTTAATTTGTTTATTTAGTTCATTATACCTTGGATTTGCATTTCAGTATTTTTATTAATGCTCAGTTTTTTACTATTTAATTAACAGGGAAATTGGTTGCTTCTTATGTGCACTTTGATGGGCGTATTTATTACTGACATTTGCACTTAGCCTTAATTTATTTTAATTCATTATTAACACTTTGCCTTATTCTTATTCATTTTGACTGTGTCAAAAAAGAAAACAAGACACTTCTGTGAAGTACTAAATGCGTATTAATTATGTAATTGACAGCTTGTCTTTTTAAAATTTTGCTGTTAAAGGGATAATAACTCTTCGTATGAGATCTATATTTCACAATAAAAACATTGTGAATAACTTATAGAAATATAATATATTCTGTTTTACCACAAAAATGGCAATTATAGCTATTATTCTGATATCTGAGCTTGTCTTTAGACCACGTGACCTCCATTGATGGCTATACTCTGTTAAAAATCTCTTGAGAGATTTTAACAAAAAACCAAACTTTTTACAAAAAAATCAGGGATTAACTTTGAATGTAAAAATGGATTCATTAATCATTGGTAAGTATGGGCAAATTGTTGTTTACTCCAGGAAAATTCATTTTTTGGCCGAAACGAAGCGTATTATCCCTTTAATCAAAATTATGCTTTCGAAAAAATGCCATGTATAAAAATATCATTTCCAAACCATCTTTCACCAATGAAAACATAGTAAAAATAACCAGAAGTGTCTTCAGTTTTCTTGTGTAACAATTTAGGATTGAATGATGTGTTATAATAACAAAACCAATTTAAGTGCACTATTAACATGTAGGTGGACTTTGAAGAAATCTTCGCCGAGCCCGATGGAACCCACAGCATTGACTGCGTTTGGACCAACTCTCACAAATGCTTCACTTGTGGGAAAAACCTCTGCTACAAGATCCTCACGTTCCTCTGTGGCATCTTCATCGCCCTCTGCTGGGGCTGCGAGTTCGCTGGCATCGCTTTCGACCATATCTGGTACTATACCCCGATGTACAAGGCATGCGAAATCAACTTGGGCTGCTTCAAGAAGTTCTATTCCACTTGCATCCACTGTCTGTGTGACCCGATGTGCGAAGCCTGCAGCTTGCTATTCTCGGCGTTCAAGAAATAGTTAAACATGGCACGCAGCAAAGACGTTGCGGTCCGTGAATGGTTAGAAAGTTCTCGGGACAATGGCGTCATTAATGCACACAGCCTTTCGTTAGAGTCTCTTTTTGCCATAGCAAAACATATTCATACTATGCAATTCGGAAACCTTAAATATAGAAACTCTTAATCTGGTCTCTAGTCTTAATATTTGTGATTTTGCGTCTCCTTTGTTGTTGTACTTGTTGTTGTGTCTGGAATTAAGAGTAAACTTTAACTATCGATTTGTTAAGTATATTTCACTCTTTTTCTGATGCTGTGATATTGTAACCAAGAATATACTTCTTTGTCAAGAATCTGTGTAATTACAGTTAATATGTATTAACATTTAACGATTTTGTAGATCTTTGGAATACAAGAGTTCAACTTGATTAATTATGTTATATATATATTATCAACACCGTTTTTTGGAGATCACAATTTATCACAGTTGAGCGCGCAAATTGTATATATTTCAAATAAACACGACTAGATTTCGTTACGATTTTTTAACATTCTTTTCTTCTGGCGAACGTTTTGAGAACAATTTGTTTTAACAAATCTTGTGCAAAGTATGAGAACCATTGTCTATAGCTATGGGAACGAAGACATCGTTTAATTTAAGTCTCCAGTTTTCTTAAAGTGCACGTTATTATAACGAAAGGCCAGCCTTAAGGGTAGGGAATTTCTCCCTCTAATTTCATACATTATTAGCAGTCAGAAGTCAAAAGCCAAATTAAAATATGGAATAAATGACCAGTATGTATCTCAAAACTTAAAGCAAAGAAAAACTGAAAATTAAAAAAGGACTATCACTCCGCATCTGTACACAGAGTAACGTCAGGTATTTCCAATATGAGTAAAAAGAAAATGTACTCATTAATGAGATATGCATTTTTATCAAAATAATTAATTCGTAGCGTCCCAGAAATGTTTGGATTCATATTAAATATATTCTTGTATCGCCCATTTAATTTTCTTTCACATTTTGACCTCAAAGACGCGGAAGAAGTGGTACAAAATATTTCGCCTATTTATAACGTCAATAATTACCTCCACTTAGGTTAGGAGGTTATGTTTACACCCCTGTTTGTCTGTCATCAACATAACTCAAAAAGTTATTGACCGATTTTGATGAAATTTTCAGGGTAGGTCAGAAGTAGGCCAAGGAAGAGATGATTAGTTGTTGGTGGTGATCCGGATCAATAATCAGTAATCAATAATAATAATAAAAAATCGCTGCCTTGGCGGAGGTCTGAGCTCTCGGAGTGCTTTTCTAGTTGTAATTTACAAACAAGTGCCTTGGATGTGTCGAAACTGAATGCGTCGGGAATCTCAACTACCACAACATGGACGCACCCGAGCTCGAAATACGTTACGTGGCATGGAATGCGTCGAGATAGTTTTACATGGTTATATGGTTTTATTGTACCTCAGGTTAAGACCTTTCTAACGCATGCTTTTTAGTTGTTTTAAAAGTCTTTTATAATTATTTTCTTGAATTATTTGTTTAATTTCAGCTTTTATTACAAAAAAAAAAATAAAAAATAAGAAAAACATAAGCAACACGACAGATGTTTAACAAAACAACAACAAAATATATATATATATATATATATATATATATATATATATATATATATATATATATATCACATCCTTAGACCTAAGTTGCAATTATGCCTGCATGCAGAAATAGTTGACCATGTATGATAATGCTTCAGCTAACATGACATAATCACGGCATAATTATGATTCGAAGAGACATCGTTTCAAGAATTTTTAATATTTAAACGGAGGAACTCTCTCAGCATTTCCTTGTTTCAAAGGCATCTTCAGAACAAAAAGTAAACCAAGTTTATGAGAGAGAGAGAGAGAGAGAGAGAGAGAGAGAGGTGCATTATGCTTGCGCAAGTCATGAATGCTTTCTGTAAGTAATGCGAGCACGGACAGGTACGCTGCATACAAATGTACATAAGACTTAGTGCTCGCTCCAAACACCATGGAACCGCCATATTTTTTCTGTCTACAAATACAGGATTCTTCCCACCATTTCAGACAAGCTGCTCAATGGTAGGATACCTGCATCGGTTTTTTTTTCTTTTTTTCTTTAAAGTAAGTTGTCTGTATGTCTTGCTGCTTACTTCCTTATTTACAGGTCGGTCAGCTTCTTTGGTATTTTCGTCTATTTCTCTGTCGGTTTGTCCCTATGTGTGTGTCTCTCTCTCTCTCTGTCTCTCTCTCTCTGTGTGAATGTGTGTGTGCGCGCGCGCGTGCATGCGGGTACGTCCGTTTTTATGTCTGTATTTCTTTACAGTTGACACATGCATATCTTTCTCTCTGTGACTGTCGGCTGGCTGAACTCTCTCTCTCTCTCTCTCTCTCTCTCTCTCTCTCTCTCTCTCTCTCTGCACGCTAAATTGTTTTCAGGGCAAGTGGATGAAAAAAATTAGTTCGGCTAATAATCCTTTCCAATTAAGTTCATAGCGTAAACACCATCACCAGTGCTTATTCTAACTCACTCCCACATAAACCAAGAGTTTTTTCTTGTTTAACATTTCGTAGAGGAGTGAGGAGATCAAAACCAAAAAGGATTTATTGTAAAAAAAGTATTTTTTTTCTTTTTGGTATAGACAATTTTCAATTATTTTTTCTGGTCCTTCTCAGTCCCATCCCCTTCCAGGGTAAAAAAATATTTTAAAATCATACGTGCATATGTGTTCATTAGAGTCTGCATTAGTAGAAAATGTTTTACCACCTAGATTAAAGAAACCAGCAACACAAAAACGATTATATGAAATAACAATTAAATAATAAAAAGTATAAATGAACAGTTTAACAGTGCATAAACAACTGTTAAAGCAACTTTAACCTTTACAATTTTTAAAAAATAATATATTTTTAATTTTGCAAAACAAACGTAACAAATAGAAAAAGACAAATATAGATCTATCCAACTTTAACCTCATTAGAAAGTCTGCGGCAAAATCATCAAGTTATAGGAGGATAGATCACTTTAGATCAATAAGAAAAAATTTGCTGTACAAATTTTGTTTTGTACCCGTATTCCTATGCTTCATTATGCCAATTTCTGTCTAATTCACTGAATCCTTTATTATTTCTGTATTTTATCCATAATTTTCTCTTTGATTTGGGGGAATAATCGGCGATTTAGGAACCCGGTGACAGGCAATGATCATTTCTAAGAGACCAGCACTCTAAGAAAATAATGAAGAAATTGAACAATCTTCTTCTCTACTGGTACCGCAGGCGCATATAATTTGGCGTTGATTTGGGAAGGTGCGCCCGCAATCCTGGCCACGGTAATCAAGAGCGCATGTGCCAAGTTATAAAAACAGCATGGTATGAGGAACACGATCAAAAATTTAGGCAGGTCCGCACAGACAATTGCAAGGTACGAGTTACACACAGGGAGAAAAGAACTATAGTTATCGTATGGGACTTAGAAGAACAACGTTCACCTCCATTCGTTTGTCCATGTATTATATTGTTCATTATTTATTTATTTATTCAGACATTCATATATTTAGCTACTGATTTATTCAGACATTCTTTTATTAAAGATTTAAATAATTTTGTTCTTCCAGATGGCGAAAACTGTTGTCTTCGTTCTGTTGATGGTCATTTCACTGAGTTTTTTATGGATTGCAAAAGTACAAGGTAAGTTTATTTTTGTTGTGCATTAGCTGCCCTTCAATTTTCCAGGTAGCGTACTGTATGACAGGTGTGACAGGAATGGTAGTCCTTGGAAAGGAGGTCCGGGGTCCCATATGATTAGTACAGGTTGGAGAAGTATTGGAGTCGTTACATACTGTAGGGCGAATCTCACTTACATATAAATGAAAAACGGACTTCGGTTCGTAGCGGACTACCATTCCTGACACATCCGTATTTGTCAGTCGCTTCTAATACAGTAACAGAAGGCAAAAGATGGGGAGAAGAGATTTACTGTCACAACAGTGAAGTTCCAGATGGCATTTGAACCTGTATATGTCTATAATTCTTAAACAAGGACAAATTATTTTATACAGTGAAATATACTAGCACCTTCTCTCTACGATTCCTTTGTCTCATTCACCCGAAAATCTGCCCCAAGCTTTCCGGTCTAAGTGACACGAAAAGTAAGAGATGACCGCAAATCTGCCCTACCTGTACGGGAGTTCACGTGATCCGAACGCAGTTGACTTTGCGCAGGGATTGCGCTTAGCTGATTATCCTTTGGTCTCGTCTCGCGTGCGAGCCCCTTCCAACGATTTGTCCGTGCCTTGACTGAAAAGGCGCAGATGGGAATGGTTTAGATTTAGGCTGTCAAACTACTTACGCTAAAATATGTTATAACAATGAGGGATGCAATTCAGTGATAACTCTGATAGGAAAAGAAACCTTACCCTGTTTGACAATGAAATGGGTTGCATTAAGGAGGGGGGGGGGGCGCCAAGTTTTGGTGCTTTCACCAATACGCCACTTCCTCGAGTTTGGCCGAGTTGTGTGAAAGGTCCGTGTTACGTAAGGTCCATTTTTGAAAGAGAAATATTACTGAGAGGTTTAAACAAAAATAAATAAGTAAACATTTTGTAAGAACTATAGCCTATTTCTAGCATCAAGGAGGTAGGCTGAAATACGACCATAATGACCGGGTCATATTATGACCTAGGTACCCTAATAAATGCAACGAAATGGATTCACAATTGAATTTTCTTTCTTTAGGCAAGACTTCGTTCATCGTGCTGGGAGACTGGGGCTACAACTCATCCCACCAAGCAAAGGTTGCCAAGGCAATGGGCGAGTGGGCGGAGGCTAACAATGCCCGTTTCGTGCTTACTGTTGGAGACAACTTCTACAACGAGGGTGTGAGCAGTTTAACTGATCCGTTATGGAACACACTCTACCGGGACGTTTACGTTGACCCGAGTCTTAACATCACGTGGTACGCGTGTCTAGGCAACCACGACCATTACTGGGGCAACGCAATCTACCAGGTGAAGGCTCATCAAACAATGGACTGGAGATGGTACATGCCGAATTTGTATTATACTTTTGAAGTACAAGACCACGAAGGCGACCAAGTGACGATCGAGTTCATTGTGGCCGACACCGAAAATTGCAAGAGTAAAATGCAGATGAAGTGGATGAAGAAAGCTATCACCAGATCGTCGGCTGACTGGACAATCGCTGTGGGCCACCACCCCGTTCTCTCTTCGGGAAAGCATGGCGGCACACCTACCATGTACAGCTCCAGCTCGTACCGTAAAGCCATGGAGGAAGAAAAGGTCGCCTTTTACTTTTCAGGCCACGACCACAGTCTGGAGCACATCAGCCACGGCACGCGCCCAACCGAGTACGTCATTTCCGGTTCCGGGTCGAAGCTGTACGACCGGAGCGAAGAGAGCCTTCAGGACGTCGTAGATAAAGGATACACGAGTGAGTTCTTCGAATCCACACCAGGGTTCGTGGGGGTGACAATTCACAACAATGTGGCTAATGTGACATTTGTCGACAAAGGCGGCAATGTTATATATTGGTTTTTAAAAGAAAACCCCCGTGCCGCGACAATCTAGTGGGATTCGTCTGAAAAATTGAAAAGAATCTGGACACCGTTCTTGCTTTAAAATGGTCATTTATTGTCATTCATTGCTGAACATTGTGTGGCATGTTTAGATCATATACGAGAGATCAATAAATAACCTGCAAATCAAATTATTCTTTGGAACTTAAAAAAAAACTGTTTGGCCTATACGCTTACCGCAAAAATCTTTATTTGAATAAAAAAATAGGAGAGCAAAAGATAACTGCAGTGCAAGGAGGGGACGGCCACCTCTTTCTAGTTTTTTTACATTTTATATATTATACAAAGAGCTGACAGCACATTCATGTATTAGTTCACTGCACCGGGCTACATATAGGCCTACCTACTTTAAAAAAACGTATTTTCAACAGTTGTCATTTTGTTAAGTTTACGAGCACGTGGTCTCACGTTACGTCACGTAGCTCTGTTACAATGCCATCTACTGATACACTCCCTGATGAATTCTGGGCACTTTCTGTGTCTGTGTTGTCCTGACCTCGGATTTCCTTGATCTCAGATACCATTCGTTTTAAAGACCTACTCAATCTCTTGTGGTCTAATGAACCAGTCTCCAAATTATAGGCGCGGACTATGTCGCCATTTGCATAAATATTTCCATTGTCACCAAAACCTTGTAGATCCGGGTCATCGCCATGGAAACTGTAATAGTAATACCCGGCTTTGAGTGGGGACAGAGACAAGGGAGTGGTTACTTTTACGTCATTCACCGGGGGCGTTTTCTCGCGGCTTGCGCTTGCCGTTTCTGTTTCGGCGCTAGGCGGCAGCACCTGCCCATCATTGCCTTTTTCCTGCAAAGACAAACAACATTGATTTTGCCCGTTGGTTTACTTTAGCGATCACGCGAGCGCATACGACCCCATTTTTTTTTTTACATAAGATATATCCAAAATAAAATAATTTGAGTCAAACAGAGAGCGAGAGTATTGAGGATGCTATAGATTAATACATGTATCATTAAGAATAAGTAAAAATCCCCCAAATCGTGGGCAAACAAAACAATATGCATGGAATGCATGATGTCAGAATTGCGTTTTTACGTGTCTCTATTTTATTTTATTTTATTTTATTTTATTTTATTTTATTTTTATATAGATTTCAAACATATTATAAAAAGCATTTACCTTCGTTTTTCCATCTGTTTCGTACCGCTCTTTTTCGCACACTTCTTGACTCCTGCAAATGTAACTGAATTTGTTAACCATACATGGTATAACCGCAATTGCGGATCCAGAAGATATGGATGGCAAAGGTAAATTATCCACACCCGAGATATTTCAGAGTAAAAACAAAATAAATGTGCATATATTTGAAATTATAGGAAAAGAGGTGTACCGGCTAGTGCAGAAGGCAGTGTAAACGTATAAGGAAAAAGTGAGAGAGCAAGTTGAAAAGCTATCTTACGTGCAGCAAGCTACATGTACCTGTACCGTGTATTAATACAGGTCAACTTCCGACATTAAATGCCTACTCTTGATAACGTGTTTCTTTAACGAATAAATAACCTATTCCTAAGTACTGAAATTACGTGTACTGGCACTATTTGCTGTATCGTTAGTTATTTATGAGAAAAATATGAATTCATTACCCTGGTTGTGTCCGTAATCCATGTAATTTTAAGAGTATAACGGTACCAAGAACGATTACAACAAAAAGCACTGCAGCAAATATACCGCCATTTAAGTACGTTGACCACAGTTCACCGTCGAGTAGCGGATCTACAAATAAAAAAAAAACGAATTAAGTTGTTCTTCTAAGAAACATTGTTCATGTGCTTCTTCAGTGTCTGACTTGTACATAAAACACGAGAATCAAATGTCTTTCTGTCGGTGTGTGTGTGTGTGTGTGTGAGAGAGAGAGAGGGGGGGAGGGAGAGAGAGGGAGCACTGTTCATTCTTACCCTCATCATAACTGCTGATGTTGAAAAGGGCAGTGGCATTGGATGCCATGATGTAACCATATCGTACTCTACTATACACTCTGCTGGATCATCCCAACTTAAAGCACGTCGCAGGAAACTTTGGATCCTAGCTGCCCGTAAATTAGGTATCAGCCTAAACAGAGAAGCCGTTAATAAGAAATAACTGATTTCATGCAAAATTACTCTGTTTAAAAGTCTGATGTATTACTCTGTAAAACTTTCTTTCAATAAAAATAAAAAAAGAAAATTAATATAAAGAATAATAATCAAATAAATATGCCCGCTACATCAAATGCTTTAGTTGCGACAAGACTACACTACGTGTATGTCACAATCATGTCTTCACTGTTTTCATTATCAATCACATGCCTACTTCTGAAGCACATTTTTCGGATATTATATTTCACGACAAATCAACCATTATTTCCTTTCAATCAAAGCAAAATGAGTTTTCAATATACATGCATTGACCTATACTGCACAGAGAATACTTCATCGTTTTTAGGAAGGTTTACATTATTTTGTAAATATGCTATGAGTGAATAAGATTGGAAATTATTCGCCTATAAATCTACACACATTTTGCAATAGCTGTAATGACAAACAACATTTGTACGTGGCTATTAGAATGACTTTGTGAAACACCGTACGTTAAATCATGCAGCGCGGCCCATCTTACTGTCTCATGTAAAATAAAATTCAGTCTTGCAGTAAGGAAAACATACCTTTCAAACAGTAAAATAATCATTCTTATTTGTTTCAAATCATGGTTTATACATAATACGTGTCCGTAGACTTCATTACATTTTTGACACTTTTTGACGCTAAGCAGGAGTCACTTAAACGCAAACATCTGATCATTATCATTAATGTGGTTGAACTAAATAACTTCGCGCTGAGTTGTTGACATTATGAATAATATGGACGCTATCATCAATCTGATATAAAGACAGGCTTCTTTTAGCGTTGACCTTTTAAAATAATAACTCTCAATGGTACAGATATATACATGTATACACTCTCATCTTGGATCCCTCCTGCTACGATGAAGTATATATGCAGTTCTATAATATATATGTAGGGTTCTGTGCTATGATACATTTGTAGGACTACCTCCAGTATATAAATGCCGTCCAGCTCTAGTTTTTTTTTCTTTTTGCTATGACATACACACAAAACTGCCGTCTGCGTGTCACTGATCACAGAGTGTTATGAATAGAGCAATATTCATTTACCTCTTCTTCCAGGTAATTTTCAGCTCAGCGTCCTACTCTATACAGCCACGCTGCCCAGCGTGCTCGTGGACAAATGTCGATAATGCATTGACGTGCTAAATGCATGTAGGCCTACATGTACTCGTATACGGAGTGCTGTGACACGTTAAACTTTGTGCAACTCTTTGCCTTGGGCAGTTTTAAAAATATAAATGCAGGTCATGAACCGTAGAATGTACCACAAAACTGTCATTTTTTATCTTTTGTGTCGCCTAAATAAATATGAGTCGCGTCCTCATCCATTCTGTTATCATGAAGTTTGTCATTTACTAAAAAATAGCGACTCGGAATGTTCTTTTCCTTATCGAAGATGACAGGAAGGCCAAGTTTAGAAATCATGACAGTTTTATTTATGATCCCGTGAAGTTATCTTCCTCACCTTGACTATGTGTCATTGGAGAGGGAGGTTGTGGCAGCTTAACGCATTTAAAACTGGTCTTTCACAATGACGTTGCACTAAGCATCATATCATGATTCCTGAGCTTTTACTTTTCAAATAAGACTTATATAGCGTATGATGCTGAGCATAAACTTGACGCATGAGTCAACTTGACTTCACACTTTCAGGAGGTGATTAATGACGTATAGGTATGCAGCTGACAATTCTATTTTTGTCACCCATGTGAACAAAATATCCACATGGTTGGAGGGCATCTTCTTTAAAAATGTGTAAAGAACAATAAAGGGTGGCATTTAAGTTATTCATTTCCTCGCTTTCAGACATTGGAAATTTTGAATACTTATAAAACAATGCCACGTCAATAATGCAAGGGCCCATGCACTGACATCATGTGTATATGACGCAATTTCTACTACACATGTATGACGTCGCATATTTTTTGGCCCTAGCAACAATTCATCGCTAACCAAACATATCATCTCTAGATCTACAACGATCAGGGGCGCTTATTTCCACGGTTTTAAACGATACGTCACTTGAGAAGGCGGAGATTAGGGAAAGGCGTAATTATAAGTTTAAATTTATGAATTTATCTAATATAGATCTAGGTTATTGTGGTTCTATTTAAATAATCCTGTATTCCCCCACCCCCACCCCTTAATACTGATTTATATTAAGGCCCTAAGGCAACCACACGTTCTGGTCACTCCTTTCACTGTCCTTTCGATCGTTCACCTAAGCAACTGCGGGGAAATTTGTATGGACAAATCTCCAAAATGCTAAGCTCCAGTTTCTCTTTATATCTCTTCTGTGATTCTGGGGTTAGTCCCTCCTCATACTCTTATCCTGCTGTGAAGTAAAAAGTTGTATATATATATATATATATATATATATATATAGCAAAACGAGCTGTTTTTGACGAGCAATTTTTTATCATCCGTCCATTATAAAGTATGGGGAAAACCTACCCTGAGTGTCAGAGCAACGTAAAAATTAGCTTGTAAATATTAAATATACCTTGGAGTCATTTTTACTAGTATTGCTTGTATTGCTGCTATGGGTTATATATGAAATCAAGATCGAGCTGGCAATACCGGAATCTAGAAAATAGGGTAGGAAAACCGGGAGTCGCATCACATTTGTCCCCCAAGCATTGTGCGTAACAACGCTCCGCCCACTTGTCACGTCACGGGTACTTCTACAGGTAGAATGGAAGGTAGAGGGAGAGGTATTTTTTCGATGCTGTCGGTGCTTATCCTTTTAAATGTGCTGCAAACATGTGCATCCAAGAAGGGTCCCCCAAATATCGTGTTCATACTCACAGATGATCAAGACACTGTTATTGGAGGAGAGGTAATGGACTATTTATAGCACTTCTAACATTGTTTTGTTTTTTATCACGAGATCTTTTAAGACCCAGTATGATAAAACAAAAAAAAAAAAAAAAAAAAAGGGGCAAAGCGATATTGTAAATTATGTAAGATAAATCAACATTAAAGTGATTTTGCATAAAGGAAAACTGTAACCTACATAGCTTGATGTAGAACTGAAAAAAGATCAAGTACATTATTAGTGCCGTAGGTTGCATCACATGATTTGAAGAGTCACCTGATACATGTACTAGTACATGTAGCTATAAATTATTTATGCATGTTTTCTTTATTTTAAATATATACAACTAATATTTTGTCTGTCTTGTCAAAGGGGTTGACTGTGGTAAACGTAAGAAAGCAGATCCAAAGCAATCACTACACAGACAGAGGCGGATTTAGAGGGGGGGTCAGGGGGGTCCTGAACTCCCTTTTCGGCTTCTGAAAAGAAATCCCACTAATATTCCCCTCTTGGAATTAGAATTTTGACTAGCTGACTTATAGTACTGATACTAAACCGTACCAAATGGCACTGTTCACCCTCGAAAATACCAAAAGTTTTCGGGGCCTCCCAGCGGGCCCAAATCTCATGCCTTTTTTTTTTTTTTTTTTTTGGAGGGGGGGGGGTCGGGTTCACATCTGCGCTATCACTCCTTCAAATAATCCTGGATCCTCCCCTGCATAGATAAATACGAGATTAACTTATTAAAGAAAATACCCGGTTTTCTGGTTGAGTTCACTGACTGTTGGTATTTTAAAAAATCCAAATGGAACTCCCAGACGACTTCCATCACAATTTCAGGAATATATTTGATGAATGAAGACTAGATTTTAAATTTAGAGATATTTAGATACAGACAAAACTGATAATGATGTAATTGTTATGTTTTCCCATCCAATTCCAGTGCCACATTGAGACTTGTGTTTTTTGAGATCATACAATTTTTTTTTTGTCCACCAATTTGATTCTTTCAGTTCAGTACAAAACATTTGGTACATGCTTTGTGATTATTGCAACATATAATGAACTTGTGTTCATACTTCACAATTAATTAAACTACCAGTAGTATCCTCAGCACAAAACAACTTTCTTGATGTTTATTCTTTCCATTCAAGGGACTGACCTCAAAAGAGGGTCTGGGTGAGAGGGTTAAAAACAAAACTTATTGAAATTGCTTTGAATTATATATACAAAATATAATATCAATCAATCTTGGTAAAAGGCAAAATTATCCATAATTTCCACACAAAGCTTCAGAGAGAGATTAACATTATTCTATGATTTATTCTGAATTGAAGCATCTACAGTGTCTTGTCATTTATCATATAAACTTTTGTATTTTAATAGACAAATGATGAAACATGAAAATAATAAAATGATGTCCAAAAAGTATATTTTCCCTTTTGAAATGGGGGATATCCTAAGAAATCAGTCTTTTTAATGCATATTTATCTGGAAACAAGAGCGTGCAGGCATGTTACTACCTATACTGTACATATTCCAGTTACACTCATCTTTTGAGTCAGAACTAATAGCGCAAGAAATACAGTAGATATACAGATACTGTAAATGGCGCTACAGGTTAAAGGGTCTAGAACCTTCAAATACTGCATATTGACTCATATTGCAATTTTTTTTTTTTAGACACCAATGACAAAAACCAAGAAGTTAATTGGAGATGAAGGGATCATTTTCAGGAACATGGTATGTATACTTATTGCAATGGAGGAGCCAGGATGTCTAGAACTAGATGGAGACTGGGTCCCAAATGTAGGGTTGCGCCTTTCCTCTCCCTGTGAGGAAAAACTTTATAATAGAATTCAGTAATGTAAATGAAAGCTTTTAACACTAAAACTTGATATCCAATGAAACTATATTTTCACAAAGTTCATTAAGAGACACTTTTGTGAGTCAATGTGTTCTGCCAAAATAGGTTCATCCGCATATATGTATATTTTGATAGGAGACAGTGACATACACCCCATTTCCATAGATTAGATCGACCTACTTTAGATCGACCTAACTCCCTGGGGGTTCACGCTAAATAGCTGTCAGCCGGGCGGACACGAAAGTTAATTACCCCCTTACAGCTTGTAGTAGGCGGGACGGACATTTAAGTCGGATTATCTGAAAGTAATTTAGTGAGACTCCCCGCGGGGATAGACTGATCTAAAATCTATGGGAATAGAGCCATACAGTACATTGATAGTGGCAAAGTTTATCAGGACTTATAAATTTAATTTTTTTTGCTAACATTATTTTGTGGTTCTTATCTGCAATGATCAAGTGTAATTTTATATAGAAAAAACATGTTTAAAATCTTAAATCTTAAAATTTGTCCATTTGATATATTATTCAGTTTGTCACCAGTCCATTGTGTTGCCCTAGTCGATCCAGTATTCTCACTGGAAACTATGTCCACAACCATGGTGCTGTCAATAATAGCGTGGACGGGAACTGCAGTAGCCCCATCTGGCAGAATCAGTCAGAGATGAGAGCTTTTATCACGTATCTCAAAAAACAGAAATACACCACTTTTTTTGCTGGGAAATATCTCAATATGGTTGGTACATGTACCTTTTGATTTTTTTACATGTATTTCAAAATTGTTTCAGCCCAATTTAAAGTGCATACTTAAGTTTTTTTTTAAAGCAGTATTTAAATGGTATTATTTTCATTGTTATTTCCTTTTTTATGCACATTAATAACCATGCAATTTCTCCTTCATCATGGTTGACTTTATTTTTACTTTTTGTGCCTAGTATTTAGCCAAATTTTGTATTTTTATTTGATGACATATGCTAAGATAGCCTATAATTTAATTGTTTTAGGCCAGCTGTGTGTGAAGGTGTGTGTGTGTGTGTGTGTGTGTGTGTGTGTGTGTGGGTAGGTGTATGTGTGCACATACGTGCATGCATGCTTGCACATACTTGTGTCTGTGTACTGTGGTATATTGCAAGATATATATGTAAGGAAACATTTTCTCTGGTCTATTCCAGTATGGCAGACGTGAGACAGGGGGCCCAGAACATGTACCACCTGGCTGGGACTGGTGGAATGGGCTGGTAAGCTAATGTAACTAGAACACCACTTCACTCTGAGTATCAGAGGTCACTGGATGGCATAAAGTCATGGTACGATGGGCCACACATATGATATGGGTCACATGTCATAGGTCACACATATCATGGGTCCAAGGGTTTTCCAAGTGAACCATCCAGGCCCCAGTTTCACCAAAAAAAATTTTTTGGAAGTGACTAAGGCATACTTGGACTCTCTGAAATTTTGTAAGAAATTACAGGTGGTAATTTTAGACAGCCTGTACCCCCAATCCTGCGAAAAGGC